CACATGCGGAATAGATAAATCACACATAACATAACCAAGGACATTCCACAATGAAGTCCTTTCTCATGTAACCAAAGCCTAAACCGCGAATTGACAACTTCCTTCCATTGTTCCTTTTACCTCACACGGCCTTAACCACAAAGGCTAAAAGACCAATGATCCGACATGTAATACACCGGCCCTATGCTGCAATCCCGTTCCTCCGGGTATTACAATCGGTAGTCACGGCCCTAGGCTGCAATCCCGTTCCTCCGTGACTAGCGATATCTGGAAGTGTCAACCGCTCTCTACAATTGTTAGAACGTTACATGATCCTCTTGATCACTTGTAACGTCTAACCTCACACACAACATAAAAATTTACCTTTGACCCGCATGTATCTAGACAGATCACACGCGGATCAGCTTCCTCTAGAAATCCTGCATCCACAAAGGTTAGTGGCAAATACAAACATAAACATCCCATGCTCATGCAGCATGCAATCACACAATCAAACATCATGCACAAACAATCAAAGAAAATACTTAACCAAATTCCTAAAATTCTATTAAGAACCTCCATGGCTATAAAACATAACAATAAACAAGCAACATGTGCTCTACTCATCTAGCACACGACAAACATCACCAAGACTCACTTTATTCAAACGATTAGGACTTAGACTCGGATTTAGGCTTAGAACGGATCTAGGTTCCTCGACTACTCCACGATCTAACAAATMTTCYYTTYYCKTAAAACRKACARRRTTTYGGCTTGAATCTCGATCATTCCAACCATCAAAACCACAAAGGGTTGGATTCAAGATCACAAGACGAAAATAAGTCAGATAGAAAAGTTAGGATCGGAACGCTTTATCCTAAAAACTTTACAGCACTACTGGATGGTTCCCAACAACAGACCGCGGATTGGATCACGATCGCGAACTATTTTGGTCAGAGGTTTGGAACGTTTTCTATGTAAGAAATGAGAGTTACTTGGTCCTATTTATAGGGTTAAGCAAGCAGGTAGGCACAGTAGGACGGTCGCGACACATGGTCGCGATGAGTCGTTGAACATGGTCGTGACACCTCGTACTTGCGGATTTGTCGTGCTTGTGGATTTGTCGTGCTTGTGGATTTGTCATGCTTCCGATGACTCGTCACACAAGATCGCGATACCTCGTGCTTACGGGATTTGTCGTGTTTCTGATTTGTCGTGCTTGCGGATTTGTCGTGCTTGCGGATTCCAAGCATGTCAATCCCGAGCAGCTGTGACGTGATTCCGCAAACTTTTATATTTTTGTAAAAATATCAAGTTTGAAAGCACCTTGCCACCTTATGCTTCTCGTCACGTCGTGTTTCGGGCCCCTCGTGCTTAAAATCCCGTCATGCTTGACAATTTTTCTTCTATCAACTAGGTCTTACCTCGATCATCTCCCGTAACTGTTTTGATCTCTTAACAGGGTCATTACATTATGGGCCCCTATA